TCAGAACAGATCCCTACTTTGTGTTGAGTTTGGTGAACTGGCTGATAAAATGCCCCTTGTAATCAGGGATTTTTAAGGTGGGTGGCTGGGCAGCCATCCAATGAGGAAATTACTAATTTACATTCCTCACGCCTTTAACATTCATCTGTGCAGCAGCATATTCTAATAGGTGTAAAAAAATTAGATGGACTATTCATGTAAATTTATCCATTCGTTTCACAAAACTAATTAGCCTTCTGATGAAATACTACAGTGTATCTTTTACTTCAGTAAACAAACCTCTAACATAAAAACAATTGCCAAATGACCAGAGGGTGACACACTGTCAATTGTTTCGGCTTTGTGTTGTGCCCAAAATTCCCATGATATTATGAGGGAATTATACAATTCCTGAAAGTGTTCAAAGAGTTAATAATATTATCAGGACAGTTGCAGTAAATTCAGCAGAAGTGGAAAGGTTTTTTGTTTTTCAAAGATGAACATAATATGTTCACAGAAGAGAAGATGCCTACCAGTTTCTAATCTATCAAGCACAGTGACTATTAGATTCTAATTGGTCTACCTCTAAACGAAAGAAATGGGATCCTACTCCTCCGGTGAAAAGAGAGTTAAGGGTGAATTACACAGCTGATGATGCTCAGATAAAAGCAAAACATGTTACAAGTGAGGGAGCCAATCAAGAAGTAATATGGAAATATCTTAATTAACAGTTTTATTGTTTATTTGTCAGGCATCAATAATTTTCATTAACATTTAAAAACTATTAGAACATAATCTAATGTGTGCACCTTTTAATTGTTCTTATTTAAGTTTTAACTGTATGAAGCAAACTACCTTTTGGTACGTCTTTTTTTATAACTTACAGTGGTCATTAGGGCAGCGGATTGGTCACTCAATGGTTTGAAGCCCACCACTGACTTGAGCTCAGAGCCAGCCTTCCCGAGAGGCAATCTTCTTCAGTCTGTGGAAGCAGACTGTCTTTCCCTCACAGAAAAGCTGGTGGCTTTGAACCACTGACTCTTTGGTGAAGAGCTGAGCACTTCACCACTGCACCACCGGGACTTTTTTTATGATGTATGAGGCTAACTCAAAAAATATTCATACGTTAGTTCATATATGCGTGGGTTTATTCCAAACAAAACACATTTAAACCTGTCTATGTGGTCAGTGGGTGGCTGCAGACATGTTCTCAGTAATACACTTGTCTTACTACCTGCACCCATGCCCTTAGGTTACTTTTGACTCATAGCAACCCTCTTGGACAGAGCAGAACTGCTCCATAGAGTTTTCCAGCCTTGAACCATCATGGGAGCAGACAGCCATTCCTCTTGAATTTATCATTCCCGGCTTAGTAAGTCAAATGACTGTCCAACTCAAAATGGCCCAGACCAGTCTAGTTCCACTCACCAATGCCTGGGATATTGATCTGCATGCATTCCATTCATTTAGACTACTTTCCATTTTCCTAGATTCATATTTCATATAGTCCATATTCTAATTACTAATGGCTATTTGCAATTGTTTCTTCTCATCCTGAGTCATCAGCAAATGAATGCCCCCCAAGCCTTTTCTCCATCCAAGTCACGAAACTCACCTGAACTTGGAGGAGGCCACTTCCCTAGCCGTATTTTGAGTGCCTTCCAAACTGAAGAGCAGTTCCATTACCTTTTAAAATGTTTTCAATTTTTTTGTCATGTAGAATATTTTTTAATAATTTTATTGGGGGATTCATACAAATCTTATCACAATCCATCCATCCATCCATTGTGTGAAGCACTT